CCAACTCTGCCCACAGGGACTCCTCCTTCGACCCAACTCTGCCCACAGGGACTCCTCCTTCGACCCAACTCTGCCCACAGGGACTCCTCCTTCGATCCAACTCTGCCCACAGGGACTCCTTCTTCGATCCAACTCTGCCCACAGGGACTCCTCCCAACATGAGGCATATTCTACCTGGCTGTATTGTGTCGGAATGCTATGATCAGTGTGGACACCCACACAAAGGATGCTTTGCTGTCAGCGAGCCTTGGATTATCCTCACCCAAAGAAGTGTCTGAGCTTTTCCTCTGAGGGAGTTTACCTGTAAGCCCTCAGAATGCCCTGCCTGTTAAGAGTGTCTCTGTTTACCTGGGAGCCTTGGCCATGCCAGACAGTCAATACTAGCTAACAATATGATTTATGACGACTGACTTGGTCCATGCAGCAGCTCACTACCAGAGGGGCTGAAGACTCAAGGCAGCAACATGAGAGGTCAACAATGTCTACATGAGTGAGCGCCACTAGAAATCCTGGACAGCAAGGTTCAAGTAGGCTTAATGCAGCTTCTACCAAAATCCCAATGTGTTTTGTATAGAGAGATAAGCATATCCTAAAACATGTAAGACGTGAGACTGTCTCTCACTACTTTGGACATTATCAAGAGGGACCAGTCCCTAGAGAAGGACATCATGCTTGGTAAAGTAGAGGGTCAGCAAAAAAGGGGAAAATTCTCCATGAGATGGACTGACACAATGGCTGCAGCGAGCTCAAACACAGCAACGATGGTGAGGATGGTGTAGGACTAGGCAGCGTTTCATAGGGTCACCATGAGTCGGAACAGACTTGATGGCATTTAACAATAACAGTTCCTCTGGATTTTTTACTGTTATTAGCACCATTGTCAGGTCCCGCTGAGTCAGTTCCAACTCTGAGCAACCCTACATACAACAGGATGAAATACTGCCTGGTCCTGTACTGTACTGACAATTGTTTGACCTATGCCTATGTTTGAGCCCACTGTTGCAACCACTGTGTCAATCCATCTCGTCGTAAGTCATCTTCTTTTTTGCTGACCTACTTTACCAGATACGCTGTCTTCTCTAGGGAACTAGGAAAGCTACATACATATTTAAAAAAAAAAAAAAAGGAGAAGTCATATTACCCATTTTAAGATTTACTGAACAAGACACTGTGGTACTGACAGAGGGTCACACATGTATGTCAGTGGAAGGTTATCAAGAAACGATCAACACAAATATGCCCGACTGCTTTTTGACCAATGAAGGCAAGACAAACTTTTCAACAACTGAACATCCATAGATTAAAAATAAATAAAAAAGAGAAACAAATTCAACCTCAACTCCACACCATTATACGTAAGTGAATTCAAATATGATCAGAAATGTAAAGTAGAACAAACCATTTAGAAGAATACAAACTTTGGGGCCTTGGGCATGGCAAAGAATCCTCAGACATGTCACCTACAAGACCTACATGGTACATTCACAACAGAGACAAGTGTTAAAGCAACACAGAATCACTTCTCACTGCAACTGTGATGCAAGACCACATGTGGTCATTTCAGAAGGCTCTAGAAGTTTCAGACTGGGTACATAATTATTTTCATAGCTTACTTTTTTTTTTTTAATTTAAGGTAATACTACAGCACGTAGCTCAGAACCCAGGCTTTAAGAACATACCAGAGGAGGAACAACAAAATACCACCATCAATGACTGACAGTATGGTAGTAACTGTGAACTCACACAGACCTGCATGTGTACATGCTGCTCTGTCTGGGGAAATTCCCATCACTTCAACTTATAGCAAGGCCTCAGACAATCTTTTAAAAGTAAAAAAAATCTTCTATCTCTATGTTGGTTGGTTGGTTTTCCCCAGAGCATATAATGATCCTTTAATTCAGTTATATGTTTTATTTTGTTTTAGTGCTAAGTCAGTCCCTTGAAAACTGCTATGTAGGTCTGGAGAAGCCTCTCTACTGAGGATTAATAAAGCTGAGGAATCTGAGTGAGAAGACAATGAAGACTACTCAATTGGGAAGATCACACAATTAAACTATCATCTCTATACCCCAGCAAAAATAAAGGAGAAACACACACACACATATACAACTTAGGGATCTAGAAAAAATGTGAGTGTGGGTAGGCCAAACACACGAGGAAGTGGTTTGTTTTTAAAAAATCAAAGACTTTAAGGTCTTGAGTGGTGCAGTAAAATGTACCAATTCATATGTACATGTTTAGGTCCTTAAATAGGAAAGTATTTCCTCAAGACTTCATATTAATCATAAAGACTTAGGCTCCTCAAGACCAGACGCAATACTCATGGACAAAGATGTTCAGTGTTTTCAGCCCTGAGTCTCCTAACACTGGGCAGCAGTGAACATGTGTCCACATCACAGGGATGAGATCTTTTACCTTTGTAACCACACTCCCGTCTCCCTAAACAAGGAAGGAACGACAAATCGTCACAAGCTTGGCAGAAAGTGTGAAAGCAGCTTTGTGCCCACTTGTTCCTCTGTCCTTCTACACCTCCCTATTGCTCTTTAAAAATATTCCTGAGATAACTCTGCAGTGTAAAGTAAGGGAAAAGATGTTGCTAGAGATTATCCTAAGTGCACAAAAACCACTGGGTCTCTGTCCCAGATAAATTCTCAGATGTAGATGCTGACTTTAGATGGGTCAATTTCTAAAATTTCTCTTTAGATAACAAACGATAATCTACCACAAAATGTTGCCTCATTTGGTTGACTCTTGTGGCCTTTCCCTCTGGCATGAGCAATCAGATGCTGAATAAGATGATTCCTCTGGCCAAAGATTATCCTCCATGGTTACATTAAAAAAATCCTTCTCCAGTAGGAGTTCCTGGATGTTGAGCGACGTTTGCCCACTTGTGAAAGGTCTATCCACATCTGTCACACTGACAGGACTTTTCATAGTATGAATCCTTTGATGCTGAGTGAGGGAGGAGCTGCGGCTGAAGGCTTTCCCACATTCAGTGCACTCATAGGGCTTCTCCCCAGTGTGGATGATGGCATGTCGGATGAGATTGGTACTCCGGCAGAAGGCTTTCCCGCACTCGATGCACTCATAGGGCTTCTCCCCTGTGTGGATCTGCTGGTGCCGCATAAGGTGTGACCTGCGGTTGAAGGCCTTTCCGCATTCCACACACTCATAGGGCTTCTCCCCAGTGTGGATGCTGTAGTGTCGAATGAGGTCTGCTCTATCGCTGAAGGCTTTTCCACACTCTTTGCACTCAAATGGTTTTTCTCCAGTATGGGTTCTTTTATGCAAGACAAAGGTGGAGTAGTGCGTGAAGGCCTTCCCACACTCACTGCATGTGTAGGGCTTCTCCCCAGTGTGGATCCGCTGGTGCTGCTTGAGGTGTGCCCTACGGCTAAAGGCCTTCCCACACTCGCTGCATTTGTAGGGCTTCTCCCCAGTGTGGATGACGTAGTGTTGAAGGAGGTCTGCACTCTCACAAAAAGCTTTCCCACACTCGTTGCATTCAAAGGGCTTCACTCCAGTGTGGATCTGCTGGTGCCATGTGAGGTATGACCTGCGATTGAATGCCTTCCCACATTCAATGCACTCATAGGGCTTCTCGCCCGTGTGAATGATGTAGTGTCGAATGAAGCCCGGCCGGTCACGAAAGGCTTTCCCACACTCCTTGCACACAAAGGGTTTTTCCCCAGTGTGGCTCCTCTTATGCAAGACAAACGTGGAGCGGTGGGTGAAGGCCTTCCCACATTCACCACACTCATAGGGCTTCTCGCCGGTATGAATCCGCTGGTGCCGTGTCAGGTGTGACCTGCGGTTGAAGGCCTTCCCACACTCTCTGCACTCATAGGGCTTCTCCCCAGTGTGAATAACATGGTGCTGAAGGAGGTGTGTGCTCTTGCTAAAGGTCTTCCCACACTCTGTGCATTCATAGGGCTTCATGCCAGAGTGAATCCGCTCATGTCGAACAAGGAGGCAGTTCTTATTAAATGCTTTCCCACATTCCGTGCATTTATAGGGATTTTTTTCTTCATGAACTGAAGGATCTTTTACTGGTCCACTTGTATCAGGTTTAAGGAGAATGTCTCCTGGAGAGACTTGCTTCTGTACAACCCCTGAAGGCACATTTTCGTCTGTCCACATACTGTAGTGTTCAGGGCTTAGGTTCCCAAGGAGCATCTTCTCCTTCTGGGGCTCTATCCTTGGCTTCAAGTGCCCTTCTTGAATGTTCCATAGCTCCTCCAGATCCTTGGCTCGCTCCAGCCTGGAGTTTCTTGAGGCTCCCTGCCTCAACTGGTCCTGGAGTGAAACTTCTTCAGGCAAGGCTGGGTGACAAGTGACAGGCTTTGTTGTCCCAAGCTTTTCACTATCACCTGAAAGGACTTCAAGACGCAAAATTTGTGATTAGTAATTAGTATTAGTGATGTTAACACAGAAGACAAAAAATCATCACTTCCGCGAGAACATGAAAATGGAAATATTACCTTTGTGCCTTCTGTGTTTTGACATCTCTGAAACCCAAGTTTGCCATTTCTTTCCTTTCTGGTTCTTAGACTCCTGAAATCTTTAGAGGGAAATTTAGTGGGTGAGTGTGGGGCGGAGGGTCTGGAGTAGAGACCCTTGTGCACAGTCAACACCAGGTTCAAGGGTACACAGTAATTCTGACACTGTGGTAAGCATACTCCAAGTCAGGATGTTTCAAGATACTGGAGGAACCTAGGGAAAAGGAACCTAGGGTAGCCCAGATGGGTGACTTCAAAAGAGATTGGAGAATGTCACAGAAGACATCCAAAAAGCTGGGGCCTCAGTGACAGGGACAAGTTACCAGGTAGAGTGGGAAGAACACTGCAACCTTAGCACACAGAAGGCACAAAGTCACATGGTCTTCAGCAAACCCAGGAACGGCCACTGAGAAAGCCAAGGTGTGCAGGGCAGAGGGGAGGCTGATTCCCAAGGTTCTGACTTGGGTCACAATGAGGATGAGCATTTCCACTCCCAAGATGGGGCTTGTAAGGCAGAATTGAACAAGATCTAAGTTCTGGGTGGGCACACTGAGTGTGGTGTGCCTGACAAAAAGCTGGGTGAAAAGCCTAGTGAAAGAGACACAACCTGATGGAGAAAAACATACTCCTTCTCTTGAAGACATTAGAGAAGACCCATGTAAATGGAGATCTTACCCAGCAAGGAACTGAAAATCTGATGATTCCAATGTCTACTAAAGAAAATGAGTTCAGTCCATGAAAGAGAAAACTAACTTGAAAGAAATATACCAAAATATTGATAATGACTGTTTTGACTAATAAAATTCCGAATGCTTGTTGTTTTCATTAAAAAAAAAAAAAATGAATCTATATATAATACCTTTCCATCAAAAAGAAAAAAAAAAAGGAACGGGATAATAAACCCATGATTCAGGAAAATGTTACTTCTCTGGAGGACACACAGGGATGGGGAAGAGAAGCAGCAGAGAGAGAAGCAACCAGAATCCAGGTAGTCAGAGCAGCACAGAGACAGAGGCAACCAGAATCCAGGTAGTCGGACTTGCACTAGGGTTCCCTTCCCATGATGTTTTCCTAAGTTGCTCATGACCTAAGGTGAACACCTCAGATTTTTTTTTGTAGTTTTCATTATTATTGTCTTTCATTATCAGTATCTTTACAACTCTAGCAGTATTTTAAACAGTAAATCACAACACTGAACATCTGTGAGTGAACATCTGAGAATGACATCAGCAAATTGCATGCTGCAACTATAAGATGTAAAAACTAACATTATTAACTGAAAGATATACTCCCTCCCCTCCCACCAAAAAAAAAAAACCAATGCTTGCAGTTTGCTGTAAGTAAAACACATCCTAAGTCAGAGACTACACACACACACACACACACACACAATGTTTTCATGCCTGGGTGGGTAATGATATTCAGTGTATTATTTTAAAAAATAAATGAATGAGGAAAAAAAAATAATTGAATCAGGGTTATTCATGGACCAATGATGAGAATGTGTCATTAACCAAGGTTTATAATTACTCTAAATCTCCACGTCTGAGGTGCAAAAAAAAAAGTTCAAAGCCACTTGAACATTATGCTGAAGATCTTGGTCTCCAACCACAAAAAAAACGAGGCCCATGAGAACTCAACACTAGTTTTGTGGTACCCTGTAAGCCACTCAATTCCCTATGCCTTCACTTCCTCTTCTAAACAATAGGGACAAAACCAGAGGCTGCCTCACAGGGCAGTTAGGACCATGCCACTGACTCTATGGCAGTAGGTTTGGTTGGGTGAGTACAGGTAACAGTCTCTGTGGATTTGGGGAGCCATTATAGATAATTAAGAAACCCACGAGCTTGGGATGGCTGATGATAAAAGAAAGGCCCTAGGGGGTAGTCAATGAAAAAGGACAGAGTCCTTCTAGCTCGTGACCTAGTCTGGGGGACAGGGGAGAGAGAGGAGAGATGGGTGGTCTGAAGTGGAGGGAGCCCAGAGCCTGATTTTACCTCAAGCAGCCCATTCTTCCCCAAGAGTGTGAGACTCTGACGGGGTGGGAGGACAGAGGATGCATGGGTCAAAAGACTCCATGGTGCCACGTTCCCAGAGAGGTAACAACAGGAGGCTTCCCAAGGGGATACAGTGTCAGCAATCTCTGTGAGGTCTACAAGGACCCCCTACTGTCTGGCTCCCAGTCACCCACCTGGACAGGTGCTCTGGGACAGGTCTTTCTTCACAGCCCCCAGCTCCTGCCTCAGCTCCAGCTCATAGATCAGCTCTGGTTTGGTTATAGAACACCCTGTTCACAGAGAAAGGGGAGGACAGAGACTTTTGTGAGGAGAAATAAAATCTCTTAATGTAATCTGGGACTTCAGGGTGGAAACAAGGCCTCAGAATGAGGCTGCTTCCATCCAAGCCAACATAATACCGACCTAGAACCAACCCGGGGCGCAAATGCCATCCCTGGGCCCCAAGACTGTACACAGACAGTCGTGCTGGCTGTTCAACCCGCCCCTCTGACCTGCAGCCTGCAGAATCCAGCACTGTTCACACATAGCCACGGCACCCAAGGAACAGCCCCTCCTTCCGGAAGGAGTTGTCCATTAATCCCAGTCTGTGAGCCTTAATCTGCCTATGCATTAGAGCCCCCTGAGGCTGTCTAGTTCCCATTCACAGACCCACTGACAGCGCACCTCTGAGGGGTGAGCTTGGGTGATTTTGCATCCCAGGGCAGGTGAAAAGCACTGCTATCCACGATGTGCAAACTGCATCCTGATCCTCAGTCATCTGAGGGAGTCAGGACATGAAGGTTCCAAGGAACGAAGATGCCTCATAACCCAGGCCATGTTATTCAGAACACTGGATGGCATAGATAGCAGAGGCCTCCTGGGGGCCCTGCCTGATTCACCTCTGTCTGGGAAAACACCTCCCCTGTGTCCCTGACAACTGAACAGGGAAATGTGTGACCAAGGCAAAGCTGAATGGTGTACTCCTTACATGGAGTGTGGAGTAAAGAAAGGAAAGTCAAGAAGAACATGAACTTGTGTGAATGATCAGAATTCCCAGGTGTATAGTAGAGCTGACAAGGGGCAAGGTTATGGTCATTACTTTGTCACAGCTAGCTACCCAGAGGGACCGAGTAGTTGATCCTGCGGGCTTGGGACCATAGTCGCAGGGGACATCAAACTCAATTGGCATAACATACTATACAAAACATTGTTCCACCTACTACTTTGGCGAATAGCGACTGGGACCTTAAAAGCTAGGAAGCTGCCATCTAGATGCAACAACAGGTCTCTCCTCGTCAAGAAGAAAGAAGAAAACCAAAATTAATGGAAACAATCAGTCCTAGCGACTGGTACACCATCCGATCTGCAACCTATACAACTATGAGACCAGAAGAACCAGATGGTGCCCAGCTACCACTGCCCTCCACTTGGAAGGGATGTAGGAGATCCTGCATAAAGAGGGAGAACAATGTGGTACAAAACTCAAAATCATTTGGAGGCAAAAAAAAAAAGAAGGTGGGGACCAGGTTTGCTGGTCCAATGGAGCCTGGTGTAACTAACCACTGAGACTATGGCCCCTAGCTGCCCTTCAGGTCTGGAATTGAACCCACAACTGTGGTTTCCAGCCAAACAAAGTACAGGCATGTGAGTTAAACATTTACCTCAAGTAGACACACGCCCTGGAGAGAACAATCATGGGAGAAGGAAAGGCTGCTTATGCACAGGGAGATAGCTCAGGGTGCAGAAGAGTATGAAGGGATGGACACTGGGAGGAGGTAACTATGGGGAGGAAGTGGGAGGGGAGCTGCTGCATTGTAAATTTTGGTCAATGACATGAGACAAAGTATATGTGAACTGCTGTATGAAAAGTGAATTTACTCTGTAAATCTTCACCCAAATCCTAATAATAAAAAAAAAAAAAAACAGAAAAAAAAAAAAAGAAGAAGAACATGAACTTGTGGCCACTCCCTGCCTCAAGAATGCCCGCGCACCCCCAACCTGTGGCCTGAGTCACTCATCAGGCCTGGACTCCCAGACTGTGGCCGCGAGTCACCCTTCAGGCCTGGAACTAAACTTACTCCCACAGCTTAACTCTCAGCCAAACAATAGACAGGCCTATGAGCTGAAACCTACCCCAGGGAGATGCATTCCTTAGAACAATCAACCATGGGACATCAGAAGGGCAGCATTTGCACAGGGAGAAAGGTAGGGAGGCAGGAATGCATAGACAAGAAGGACACAGGGAAGGGTGACCACAGGGAGGAAGTAGGAGGAGAGCTATTCCACTGTGGGGGCTGTAATCAATGTCAGAATGAGCTGCACATGAACCTTTGAAAGTAAAACAAATCTGCTTTGTAAAACCTCACCCAGATCACAGTAAAAAGTGAAGGAGTAAAAAAAAAAGAACGACCTCACAGTGGACAGCTGCAGATGGAAAGAAACATATATACATACATACAGACTTGCAGATAAAAGCAGATCCAAGGACTCTGGGAGCCTCAGACAATAAGGACTGAGGTGACCAATTCCAGTCACAGACTTGCTAAGACAGAAAAGACAGTGATGGAACACACCCACAGTGAGAAGACAAGACAAGGGACTCAGAAGCCAGGACATGATGCTCGTACTTCCTCTGGGTTTCTACACCTCCCTTCATGGGGCCCGGCTGAAAATCCGCCCTGGACAGCCTGTCTCCTTCCACTTCACCCTGTGAACCATTAGAGGAAGTAAGTTTCTTCCTCATTAATCCCTCAGTGGGGTGCAAGGAGGCCGGCCCAGTAGACCTGACGCAGGAGGGCAAAAGGTCCCCTTTCTGTGGGGTCCCCCGCATGGTGAAGAGGTGAGGCCTTACCCAGTGAGGCAAGGAACCTGCAGGTCTCTAGCATCACCTCCCTGTATAGGGTCTTCTGAGCCAGGTCCAGCTGCCCCCACTCCTCCCGCGTGAAGGTCACGGCCACATCCTCAAAGGTCACAGACATCTGGCAAGTCAAAGAGAGGCAGTGGTGCTGATTTGAGCCTGCTGGATGGGCTGAGAGCTTGTCTGTCCACAGTCAAGGTGCAGAGAGACTCATTGAGGCCCAACCACCCAGCACCTCCCGAGGGTCTAGCTAGATGCTGGGATGCTGGGGGTTGCTATGAGCTAGAAACGACCAGACATCACGACAAGGTACAAAAGCTTCCTATAATGGGTGTCGTTAGGGAACAGGACAGGAAGCTCCGTGAGCTATCAGAAGATGAAGATGGCCATGAAAACAACACTACCACCAGTGGCAACTGGGCCTCCCTGGTTCTCACTCATCCTCCAATCACTGACGGAGCAGCCGTCAGAGGCCCGACACGGTTGCAGGACTGAGGATGACAAGGAGCCAGCCACCTCCACTCGCACTGAGCGAACGGCTGCAGAAAGAAACGCAGCGACTTCCTCCCTTCCAGCCGCCCAGGAGCCGTCTCCCACCTGGCGGAGAGCAGCGATTCCGAATGCACCCCCACTCACCTGGGCCTGGTCCCGCCGCGCCGCCGCCATCGCGGGACCCTGTGCAGGGCAGGGCCCGGACAGGAGAGCTATCGGGGCCCCGAGCCCAGCGGCCCTACTCCTACCCCGCGTGGGACGACCTCGGCTGACTCGCACCCGGGGCCGCAGTCTCCCCGATGTAAGGGGCGTTCAGGTCCCGGGCCCCGAATCTGGGCGAGCGAGCGCACAGCGGACGTCCCCGTTACCCGACAGGAGGAGGTCCGGCTTCTCCAACGGCGTGGGAGTGGGACCTGTCCTCCTTACCGTCCTTACGGTCCCGGTCCCTAAGGTAACAAACCCAACCCAAGGCTCTGGTTCCCACAGCCCGAGAAACTCTACGGCCGCAGATACATGACGTAACCCGCAAAACGCAGGAAGTCCCGCCCCCACAGGCGTGAGCCGCAGGAAACGCCCTTTTTCTAGACCGTTATTGGAGTAGCACAGGCCCAGACGCACTTTAGGCAGCTTCTGTTTTTTTACCACACGTCTTCAAGTAAACGCACACTCGTCTGGAGACCCACCTCTTGAGAGTGGGTGCACAGTCGGGGAGAAAAAGGAGCTGCTGTGAAGCCGTCCTGGTAACTCCCGCTGAAACCGAGAAAACGAGTGTAGACGGAGAATACATTGCCGATGGATCAACCCCGGACCGGTCCAACGCTGAGTGGTTGGGGACAGGAAACCCACAAAGCCATGTTAGTAGTTCTGCCAGTCATCTCAGATGTATATTATAGAAAATCTCCTGACACCGCTGTATATCCAGGTTTTTCTCTTGGTTTTCTGATGGATGGCCCTGAAGGTTTCGAGAAGTAAGGACTACAGTGCCACCTGTGCAAAGAAATTACAATCCAGACCTGTTGACAGAAAAGACACTATTTGGATGAATCTCTAGCAGAGGTTCTTTACTGTTTTTCCTTTCTTTATCTGAGCTTAGTTTCTCCCCCTAATATTAACCCCAAACGATCCCATGGCTTCCACGGTAAGGACCTTCTTTTGCAGTCCAATCCAATTCCGTACCATGAAGCTCCCTGCCAGTGCCAACCTTGAGGCCTTTTCCCAGTCGTTTATTCTTACTATGGGATTTGAAATTTTCAGTCACAATAAAGGCCATTTTCCTTGGGCTGAGACAGATACACACTGCTAATTTCCTCTTATCCAGCAGACAACCAAAGTCATCAATTCTTACCAACTTACAGGAAAGGAAAAGGGGCCCCTTTTCTTGAGGCAGGTGACAAGAAGTCAAGGATCCTGAGTATCCACACCCGCTTCACTCTGCCGCCGTCTGCCCTTAAAAAGGGGTCGGTCCACCCAGGTCAAAACAATAGCTCATCACTCCCGTTTGCTTGTTTTCATCTCTCCTTGGTTGATATTCCAACTCCCCTTCCTCATTGAGGTACAAAGCCAAAAAGACATATACATAGTAGGGATGCTGGGCTGGTTTTGCTCCTCATAGCATTTGGAAGTCTTAACCCCTAATAACTATGAATGTTATGATACTGGATCTTTGAAGATATTATTAAATGGAAGAATTCCAAAATTCCCTGACCAACGATACCCCGAAGAAAATAAACTTCATGAAGCAGCTTTAAAAAAAAAAAGCAAAATCAGTGTTAAAACAGTGATGCAATAATACATGTCCATTTGCATGTGTTTCTTTACCTCCTTAAATATTTTCATGATTTAAGCCTTTGTATTTCTCACAAAGATTTATGGACTGCTAGGGTAGGACAGGAGCTCTGGTGGCGTAGTGCCTAAGAAATCTGACTACTAACCAGGAGGCTGGTGGGTTTGAACCCACTCCTCAGAAGGAAGGTTGGGCAACCTATTTCTGTACTGATACCACCTTGAAAACCCAAGGAGGGGTCGCTATGAGTCAGATCTGGATCGACGCCAGTGAGATTAGGGTAGGACATCAAAAGGTGACGGAAGGAATACAGTCACCATACTAAAAGAATTGGTCAACATTCATCCATTTTAGGAAGTAGCATATGAATAAGCCTTGAACTGTTGATGGTGATTGTCTCCCCCCCACCCCACCCCAGGAACTTAGGAGTCAAAGGGTGCTGCCCCCATGTCCTTTTTGCAAACGTCTTGTAAGTAAGTATTTTGGGCCAAGGAATTGGTGAAGAATTGTCAAACATGGAGCAAAAGGACTAACAGGAGCACTCAACAATAATGAGACAAGAGTAAAGAATACAGAATGCCTACAGTGGCAGTGCAAACCACACATGGTCATTTTAAGGACTCAGAGGGTTCAGTGTGAGTACATGTTTATTTTCAAGCTTGTGTACAATGTATTTTTAATGTAACAATGATCATCAAATACAGCTTTTTAAAAAAATGCTCAAATGGAGGGATTCCAAAATTCCCAGACTAAAGACAGCATCACCGGCCCAAGTCCATGGTGATAATTATGACACCCATGGATACTTGCATGTACACATCCTGGTTTACCCATTAAAATTCTAGTCATTTTATTTTAAAGCAAGTCTTCACACAGTCTTTGATAAGCTGAAAAATACTATGTTTTTCTCAGTTGATCATGATTCTTTAACTTACTTTGTTGTGTTGTTGTTATGTGCCGTCGAGTCGGCCCCAACTCATAGCGACCCCTCCTTGGGTTTCCGAGGCAGTATCACTACGGAAGTAAGATTGCCCAACCTTCCTTCCGAGGAGTGGCTGGTGAGTTTGAACCGTCAGCCGTCTGGTTAGCAGGCAAGTGTCTTAGCCACTATGCTACCAGAGCTCCTACTTTAGCTATGTGTTTTGTTTTACCTGTAATTCAACCCCTAGAAAACTGTCATAGTTGACTTGGAGAAGTTTCTCTACAGGAATAAAGAAGCTGAGGAACCCCAGTGAGAAAAATTAGCTGTGTGACCTTCCCAGGTCCAACCTGTGCCCTTCAGGGCCACTCCTGCCACTGGTCCTATGAGGTGTCACATCTGCCTACTTGTTGTAGGTTTAAATATTCCTGAGATAACAATGCAGAGTAAATTAAGACGAATATGGCTGGAGATTTTCCTAAAGGAACAATAACAATGAGGTCTCTCTTCTGGATGAATGCTCAGACGTAGAGTCAGACTCTGGACGGGTCACTTTCTAGTATGATCCTTAGATGACTGGTATGATCTGTGACAGAACACTTCTTCACAGGGATGACACTTGTGAACTTCTCATTTGGCATGAATGATCAGATGCTGAGTAAGATGTTTCCTCTGGCCAAAGATTCTCCTCAGTGGTTACATTTAAAGAGTCTGGTCCCAATAGAAGTCCTTGGATGTTGACAGGGTTTTGCCCCCTGAAAGATCTTCCCACATCTGTCATACTGATAAGGCTCCTTCCTGTATGAGTCCTTTGGTGCTGAGTGAGGTGTGACTTGCGGTTGAACGCCTTCCCACACTCGATGCACTCATAGGGCTTCTCTCCCATATGAATACTGTAGTGTCTAATGAAGGCTGGCCGATCACGAAAGGCTTTCCCACACTCCTTGCACACAAAGGGTTTTTCTCCTGTGTGGCTCCTCTTATGCAAGACAAAAGTGGAGAGGTGGGCGAAGGTCTTTCCACATTCACTGCACTCATAGGGTTTCTCCCCAGTGTGAATTCGCTGATGCTGTGCAAGATGTGCACTTTGGGTGAAGGCTTTCCCACACTCTGTGCATTCATAGGGTTTCTCCTCAGTATGAATCCGCTGGTGCCGTGCAAGGTGTGACTTGCGGCTGAAGGCCTTCCCACACTCGAGGCACTCATTGGACTTCTCTTCAGTGTGAATACACTGGTGTCGTGTAAGGTACGAATTGCGGCTGAAGGCCTTCCCACACTCTGTGCACTCATAGGGCTTCTCCCCAGTGTGAATCCGCTGGTGCTGTGCAAGATGTGACCTGTGGCTAAAAGCCTTCCCACACTCAGTGCACTCATAGGGCTTCTCCCCTGTGTGAAATTGTTGGTGTCTTGCAAGATATGACCTGAGGCTGAAGGCCTTCCCACACTCTGTGCACTCATAGGGCTTCTCCCCAGTGTGGATGACATGGTGCTGAAGGAGGTTTGTGCTCTTGCTAAAGGTTTTCCCACACTCTGTGCACTGATAAGGCTTCATGCCAGAGTGAATCCACTCATGTTGAGTAAGGAGGTGTCTCTTCTTAAACACTTTTCCACATTCCCTGCATACACAGGGATTTCTCTCTTCAGGAGTTATGGGATCTTTATTGGGTCCATGTGACTTATTGGTAAGGAAAGTATCTGCAGGAGAGACTCTTGCCTGTAGAATCCTTGAATGCACATCATTGTCTGTCCCCAGACCATCATGTTCAGGGCTCATTTTCCCAGGGAGCTGCTCCTTCTGGGAGTCTTCCACTGATGTCATGTGTTGGTCCTGCATTTCAGTGCCCACTCCTGATCCCTGATCCTTGACCTAGCCGGGAGTCCTTGGAAGCTCCCTGTGTCATTCGTCCCTGAACTGAGGCTTTATCAGAAAAGACCAGCTCAGAAGTGGTTGGCCCTGTGGTCTCAAGTCTTGCTTTGTCCCCTGAAAAACATCAGACGTGGAAAAGGGCCTGTTAGTAATGCGAACATAGAACAAAGCAAGCCACCACACAGTGAGATCAAGATGGAAATAGTGCCTCTGTGCCTGCTACACTCTGACATCTCTGAAACCTGGGTTTGGCAGTTCTTTTCCTGATCTTGCCTCTTTCCTAGCTTGGAAGGGAGACGAAAGGGACAGGATGAGACAGGGAAGAGCCTTCTTCACAGTCCAGAGAGTGGGTGGACACAGTGGTAATAACAGTGTGTGTGTTGAGTTTGATCTCAGCAAGGACATCTCATAGTCAATAGGCAATTATCATGAGCTGACATTTCAAAGATGATACAGATTAGCAAATATGTATCTATACATGTTGAGGGGTTAATCTCTTTAGCAATAAGGAAATGAAAATCAAGACCACATGAGATACTATTTTGTGCCTGTTTGCTTGGAAAAAAAATTAAGGAACTTTGTAAAATGTAGTATTGGGCAGAAAACAGACCAATAGAACCTCTCATACTCTCTTGGTGGAAGTACAGATTGGCCTAACACTGTAAAGCAATGCAATCACCTTTTCTAGTTGAATATTTACTTACCCATAATCCAACAATCCCACCCATACCCCATTATCAAGAGACAGCACTGTACATGTGTGTGAGGACACATGTATATGAATGATCCCCTATACATGTATGTGAGGACGTATGTATGTGAATGATCATGGCAAGGCCGATGTGAGAATGAAAAAATATTAAATGCTGTGGAGGGTTGTTCTGGTTCCCTAGTGCCACTCTGACAAGAATATACCACAAATGGGATGGCCTTAACAAACAGAAGTTTATTCTCTTAGAGTTTGGAGGCTTAATTCCAAGTTCAAAGTGCCAGGCTCTAGGAGCTGGGTGAAAGCCCATCAACCTTGAGCTTCAGCTCTGCCTCCTGCTCTCAGCCCACTGAAGCTAGAGGCTTTTTTTCACTCAGACAGCTGCTGGCTACTGAGACTGACAAACCCAAGGTTGACAAGTAAAAAGGCACAGTCCCGATGTTACCAAACCACATGGTAGGCCATTAATTCAAGTCCACTGAAAGTCCCACAGTCAGCAGAGCATGGCAAGTTGCTGAACGACACGGCTACATGCAGGGTTCAAGTGTACCATAAGCTAGAGACCACGCCCCAAGACTTTTCCTTATATACAGGAAGCAGACCACATTCCCTAAGGCAGCTACTCAGCTGCTCACAGTAGATCCCACCATGGAGTTGATTACCAGTCTCATCATGAGGAATACCACATCCAGCTGCCCAGCCACTCAACCAGGCCCAGCCAAGTTGACACACAAACTTACCCCCACAAGGGTACACACATACACTATGATATATAATGATAAAAGAGGATGTTGTTTTTGTTTGCCATCAAGTCAATTCTAACTCAGCAACTGTATAGGACAAAACAGAACTGCCCCACAGAGTTTTCTAGACTGTAAGCTTCATGGAAGCAGATCACCAGATCTTTTCTCCCAGAGCAGTTGGTGGGTTCAAACTGTAGACCTTCTGGTTAACAGCCCAATGCTTTAACCACAGCACCCGAACATGTGACTCTGGTCCAAGTCAGTGGGCCTCAATCTCCTTTGCATCAGAGCCCCCAGGACTGTCTGGTCCCCATTTGCAGACTGGCTGAAACACAATCTCTGAGGGGAAGGTATGTAAACCAGTGGATTTTCAAACTTCTCATACGGTTTTGGCTCCCAGCGAGGGTGAGATGCATTGGTGTCCTGTTTATAAACTGCATCCCAGTCACCAACGTCTGACGTAGGCAGGTGACCTAACCAGCCACTCTGTGAAGTGAAGGCCTTCATTCCAGGAAGACTGAATGGGGGGACCTGCCATCACCATCATCCCAAAGCATCCTGTGACTAGAATGCAGGTCCTCTGTTCCAGAGCCTCCTCCTTCACTAAAGTGAATCCACAGGAGTAAGGTTGGGAAGAATTTCCAATAATTAAATCCACTAAGCCACTCCTGAAAGCATGTCTGTGAACATGGGCAGAGGAGCAGAGCTGTCATCACTGAACTCACAGACAAGCCCCCGCAGGTGGCACCTGCCTGGGGAGTGGCGGGAACTGGGCAGCTCCCTGCATCCCTGGCTCTGTTTGGGCCTGGATGACTCTCAAGGAGACTGACAGTGAACCACCGGCCCCCTTATCCTTCCTGAGTCCTCACAGCAGGCAGCCCAGAGGCCAGAACACTCAGGACCAAGAAACATGAGTGGCAGGGACAATGTAGGCCACTGTCATGAGAACACGGGCCTCTGGCTGAGGGTGGGATAACATCCAGCAAGGGACCACACACTCTCACCTTCCCAGGACCAATCTCAGCAGAAGTGTGTGTGGGGTGAGTGGGGATGACCATGGCAATCACTCAGGCCCTCACAGCCACCTGAAACAATCACTATAAGTTGTGCTTGTCCACATACTTCCCTTTTCATTGAATGCCCCCACATACACACACCCTCGTACCCAACAAGACTGGCTGGAGGAATACTGTCTGCCTTAGAAAGTTCACTTCAGCAGTCATCCCCACTACAACTCAGCCCACTGTGGATAGAAGAAGAGGTAAAAACAGACTCTGGTGGTCAGCATGCTAGTTACATGTTTCTGCTACTTAAGCACTGTGTGACCTTGTGCAGGTAACATAACCTCTCTGAGCCTTGAGTTCTTGTGTAAAACAAAGACAACAGAACCTAATTGAGAAGGTGAGGATGAAATGAGGTGACTCATAATTTATGCCTGTCCCTCAGTTCACACCAACGACTTGATGAAGGCCAGCTAGTATGTTTCTTTTGTCCTTATTTCTCATCTCTGCTCCAACAAAATCTTGAGAAACCTCAACCCAACGGGCTTTTAAAGATTCCCTACTCAAAAATGCCAGACCACCAGCCAGCAGAAAAAGGCTACTTTATCCTGAACTTCTAGGAAAGGCCTCTCCAAGGAGTAACATTTGAGCTGAGCCAGAAGGACATGAAGGGATGGCTTAAAGAGATCCACTACGGTGTCCACAACAGAGGTAACTACGAGGAAAAGCCTGGGAGGTGGACGCGAACTCGGCATGGCCAGCTTAGTGGGTCTGGAGAGCAGTAAGCAAGGAAAGAATGGAAGAAGACAAGGTCGGCGGTCGTCGGCTAGGGAGGACTGGGTGGGGAATTGCAGGCTACGACAGGGACTTTGGATTCATTTTACGTGACGGACGCCTGGGAAGAGCATCTTTATACTCTCCTCTGTGGTCACGAGGCGCCTATTTCCACTCATAGCAACACCAAGTGACAGAGTACGACTGTCCCACAGGGTTTCCTAGGCTGTAATCTTCAGTGGAGCAGACCGGCAGGGCTTTCTCCGCAGAGCCGCTGGGTGGGATGAAATCGCCCACCTTTCCGCAGCAACGGAGCGCTTAACCACTGTGCTTCGTGGCTCCTTGACACTCCTCTAAGCCTGGGAATGAAGCAAACGGCCAGCCGGCGCCAGCTGCCGGGAACAAACAGCTGCAACGAGAAATCCAGCGACTTCCTCGGCTTCCGGCCCACCGGCCAGGAGCCCTCTGCGACCGAGCAGCGGAGCAGCAATTCCAAGCCCACCCTCCACTCACCTGCGCCCGGTCCCTCAGCGCCGCCGCCATTGGGGGACCCAGTGGACAAAGCGGCAACGCTGCAGAGGCTGGCGGCCGGGCCGGAACTCGCGGGCTGCCCCGTCAGAAACGGGGTGACCTCGGCAGACTCGCACTCCGGGCCTCAGTCTCCCGGTGTCAAGGGGCAGAAGACCTAGGGCGCCGCCTCCAGGGCTGCGGGAACGGCTGGCAGGGGCGACGGCAACAGGAGCCCGAGGAACCAGTGGGGATCCAGAAGACACCCCTATTATAGGAAACTCATGGCTCCTACAAAGGTGGAGACACGGGGGTCCCACAAAGCCAAGCAGAAAGAACACGACAGAACAGCGCCCCCAGGCCCGATGCGGATGTTGGGAGAACCGTCTCACGCAGATGACGTATGTTACTAACAGCGTGGAAGTCCCGCCCCCCTCCGATTGTCCGCAGAAAATGGCCAGCAGCTTGTCGGATGTTTGCTAACCCCTCACGCCCAATGCATTCTGGATAACGTAGTTTTTTCCCCATTGTGTGCAGGTACGGTAGTTTGCTTATCTGTTCTCCTGTTGCTGGGAACTTAGGTTGTTTCCATCTTTTTGCTATTAGAAATAGTGCTGTGATGAACATGAGTGTGCATATATTTGTATCACAGCTCTTATTTCTCTAATATATATACCTAGTAGTGGGATTGCTGAGTCATTCGTTATTTCTATTTCCAGCTTTTTAAGAAAGTGCCATACCATTTTCCACAGTGGTTGCACCATTTTACATTCCTAACAGCAGGTTGACTGCTAACCAGAAGGCTGGCGGTTCAAACCCACCAGCCACTCCTCGGAAGGAAGGTTGGGCAATCCTACTTCCGTAGTGATACTGCCTCGGAAACCCAAGGAGGGGTCGCTATGAGTCGGGGCCGACTCGACGGCACATAACAACAAC